ACAAATAGAAGTGCTCAAAATTGCCCTGTAAACTAAAATTTAGAGAAAAGGGGAATGTAATCCCTGGCTTCAGACAGAACTGAAAATAAAAATAAATGTAAGAAATCTGTTGAGTGCGTTACCCGTACATCCACCCTGGATTACAGCAGCAGTTCCAAAAATAATCACTTTAAAAAAAATTGCATCTTCATTCTGACATAGAACTGACATAGAACATTGCCTTGCAGTTCTTGTTGCCATCCTCTCTTACCTCTCCGTGCTGCCTTCCCTGCCTGACCCGCTGGTCAGCCAGATAGGTTGCAGCACCGCTCACAGCCACAGGGCCCTAGGTGAGAGGTTATTTGAGGTTAAGTAGACATTCTGAAGCAGGACAAGCCAAGGTGGTTCTGAGATGTGTTGGTGGGATGAAGAGAGAGCATTTCACAGGGTCAAAAGTGTAATAGGTATATCATAATGAATGCAAACTCTGCTGAGATGGAAATGAAAAAAATAAAAAGAGCCCTGGCTAGTGTGCCTCAGGGGATTGAGTGCTGGCCTGGGGATTGCAAGGTTGCCAGTTTGATTCCCAGTCGGGGCACATACCTGGGTTGTGGGCCAGGTCCCCAGTTGGGGGCATGTAAGAGGCAACTGATCAATGTATCTGTAGCACATCGATGTTTCACTTCCTCTCTTCCCCTCCCTCTAAAAACAAATAAATACAATCTTTTAAAAGGAAAAAAAACCCACAAAGTGGTTATTAGAAGAAGAGAGTTCAAGATTGTCATAGATTTTAGCTTATATCTAGCAGTTCAGTACATCTCAGAGGCCCCTTTTAACTGGTAGCCCGCTGTGGAATCTGGCTGCCAGGAAAGATATAGTCACTCACTCCTTTTCCCTTGCTCCATTCATCATTATCCAAGATATTACAAATATTCCTGGTCTGGAGTGTGTATGAAGAGGTGGGATGTCCTTGAGTGTCATCTAGCCAGGCCCTGAAGCTGAGTGTCAATGTTAGTTTGGGACAGAAGAGATGAGGCAATGTCCAAAAGCTAGGCATAATAAAGAGTGAAGATGAATATACAAAGTGGGGGATTTTAGGCAAGAAAGTGATGAAATTGATTAACAGTGAATCCCTATTATGGGTCCACCTCGTGTTCCACTTTGTAGTAGTTCATGTCTGCTTGAACCACCCTCTGCTCTCAGCAAGGCAAGCTTTCCTGTAAAATGTTGAAGTGTCCCTGGCCTTGACTATAAAAGGGCATCCTGCCATGGCGACCGCTTCCAGATTTGGGTAGGCAGATGGCTGGGAAAGTTTGGGGATTATGATTATGTACAATGGATTTATGACATCTGATTCAAATACAGCTTTACTTCTGCCTTCCACAGTCCCACTAAATCTGCCCAGTGGGAGTAATCTTTCTCCTGCCTGTGTAGAAACTGAATCCCTTTGACTTGGCTGGTCACTCTTCATTAAGAGTAAGTCCTATGATCTTTAAAGGGGCAAATACAGTCGCCACTCAGAAACATAATATGTCCTAGATAATAATCAAAACTCTAAATTTGATTTTAACATAAAATCTCACTTACCTTTAGCTGCAACCTTCTTTGAGCTGGTCACTGACAGTGGGCAGTAAGACATGGTCTTCATTTCCTTTTCATTGTTTCCTACTATCTCTTCTCTTTTTGTAGCTTGTTATCATTCTAGGTTCTTCCGTCTTTCCTGTGTTGATGGGAGATGGCAGGGAGAACAGTTAAGGGAGGTTGAGGGAGGCAGTGGGAATCACAATAATCCATGACTTTTTCTTTAAAAATATCCCTCTTCTTATTTTTTTTAATTTTTCTGATGTAAGATTTTTATAAAGGAGTATTGGTTATGTCCTTTGAATTCTACATCCAAGGAAGTCTAGCACCTCATGTATTCTGGTGCTTCATTCAAAAGTTTGAATTTAATGTACTTTTAATAAGTGTGTCATGAGATATTGGTGTCTTTGTCAGTCAGGAGGCTTTAACAAAGTACCATAGACTGGGTGATTTATGAACAACAGAAATTTATTTCTCACAGTTCTGAAGGATTGAAGTCTAAGTTCAGGGTGCCAGCGTGGGCGGCTTCTGATGAGAGCACCCTGCCTGTTTGCACACTGCTGACTTTTCCATTTAATATCACTGACAGAGAAGCTAGGGAGCTCTCTCAGATCTCTTTTACGAAAGCACTAATCCCTTTTATGAGGGCTTTACCCTCATGACCTAGTCAAGTCCCATAGTCCCCCCACTCCTATTACTATCACTTTGGAAACCAGGTTTCAACATATAAATTGCGGGGCCACACAAACATCCAGTCTACCACAGTTGGTGTATGTAAATTCTGTCCTCAGGAAAAGAGATAGCGCTGTAATCCTTCCTAGAGATTTTGTTTCCCTGGGGACTTTCTTCAGTGACCTGATTCATGTGGTCCACCTGGTAGTTTTTCTAGTAGCAGTGGGTAAGGGAAATGAATATTTATCCTGAGAGCATTTTGAAGAGTTTCTGAAAGACCTATACCAACTGGCATTCTTAGCCATACTTGATGTGATCGGAGGATTCTTTAAAATACCTGCCATGAAAACAGGGTTCAAAGTGTGGAGCAGAGAATGATCTAATGCCACAAACGATTGATTGTTTGTAAGGGTCAGCAATAATGAAGGCGGAGTCCTCACAGCAGTCTAAGACAGAGTTTATGGTTTCAATTTTTAAGGGCACTCAAGTTCTAGATTACATTATATAAATTTTGACATCTTTGAGATCAGTGTGTTGAATGTAGAAATCGCAAAATACTTTCCTGTCACCATGCTTTGGTTAAAATTGTCTCTGGCAACACCATGTTTATTCTCATCACCACTTGGGTGGGTGACTTATAACACTAGGTTTCCATGCCACACTTCATAGTCTGGTGGTATCTTAAGGCAAAGATGAGTTATTAGAAGGTTTCAAACCAGAAAAATTGTATGATCACATTTGCATTTCAAAAATCATATTCTGGCTAGAGTGTAAGAATGGACTAGGGAGAGGTGAAACTGATCAATATACCAAAGATTAAGAGTGAATGGAGAGTCACAAATAAAACTAAAAATAAATAAATTAATAAACAAACAAATAAATAAAGCAGAGAGGGGAGAAATATAAGAATGCTACCCCAAATGCCAAAAGTGGAGGGAGTGATAAACAGTGTGATATTCCTAGAGGCCAGCCAAGGGGAATGCCAGCTAAAGAATATTGACTGGATTTGGCAATTCAATTAAAGTTGTTAATGGCTTTCAGAGAGAAGTTTCGGTGTAGTGGTTTTGTCATTTGGTTTACTGCAATGGGTTAAGGAATGGAAGATGAGGAACTGGAGAAAACCAAGTGCAGACTACTTTTTCAAATGGTTTTCCAATGAAGAAATAAAATGCAGAGAAGGGTTAAAAAGAAACCATATTCAAGGAGGAAAAGAAGGAAATAGAAGAAAGAGGAAGAAAAAGGCTGATTTTAACTGAAAATGCTGAGATAGAATAGATGAGAATGGTCCCTGAGCCGGTAGGTCTTGAAGGTTTGAAATGCATAGCACACCTATATCGCTTCTAGATTAGAAGGGGACTTTGTTTTTAAGATCAGAGACATAAAAGTGAGAATGGATTTGATGAAGTTTATAAATCTGGAGGCACAAACGTAAGGGGGCTCACAATCTAGTGAGTAGTATCTCAAGTTTAAATTCCTGCTTCTCTTTACAGGATTTCGGAGATATGGCCCACCACTCTTACTTAACTTCCTGTTACTACTGAACTTACATCTTCTGTTCCACATTTCAAGTATTCTGCTTTCTCCTGTGTGTTGACCTTTTTACTTCAATTAGATTGTAAGCTCCTTAAAAAAAACCACTTTTGCCCTGAATTTCTGTGAAGGTTTACTACTGTGGAGAGCACATAATAAATTCTCATTGAAAACAGCCAGCCCTCTGCATCTGTGGGTCCTGTATCCATGGATTCAATGGACCCTGACCTCGGGAAAAAAAATTTTTTTAAATGTTATACTGCTGCTGACATGTACTATGTAGCTAGGCCTATGAAGGTTGTGTCTGTATTGAACATGTACAAATTTTTTATCATTATTACCTAAATGATACAGTATATAAATAATTTACATAGTATTTACATTGCATGAGGTATTAGAAGTACTTCATAGATTATTTTTAGCATACAGGGAGATGTGTGTAGGTTATATGTAAATACTATGCTATTTCATATAAAGGTCTTGAGCATTCCTGAATTTGGTATGGGGGGAGAGGAGTTGGGGGCTCCTGAAACCAATCCTCCTCTAGAGGACTGTAATTGATAAAATCATTAGCACATTCCTTGACACATATGCTTGCTTAACAATGACTATTACTGGAAGGATTGATGCATTAAATTTAAGTTCCAATAGGAAACCATAAAATTCTGATCCCCACCTCAATCCCTAAGAACTTTTTGCTTGTTTTCCTTATGATCTTTCAGTGTAATGGTTTTCCAAGTTAGTACATTTTAGTCTCCTCCCACCCACTTCCTGAAACAGTGTCAACTACTAACTACAAGACAGACATCACTGGGTGGCACATGCTGTCCACCATTACTGCTCTCTGGAATTTGAGGCTGCTTTAGAGAAAAAACAATCGGAATAGTCGTGGTAATTTTTTTTTTTAGATAAATGGTCAATGTGCTTGCTATCTATCAATTGATTTAACGTAATTTTAGTGAAGTTTACTAAAAGTGTCTGTTCAAGGCTTCCTGGCTCTAGTTACTGAAATACAGAGCCTCGCACAATCACATCTTCGCTTCTAATAGAATTGCACCAGATCCAGTGACAGGACTGGGAGTCTAGCCATCTGATTTTGCGGTTAGAGCTGTACACAATTCCAAAGTTGCAGTGAAAAGGCGGAGTTTAGGGCTGCCTAAGGACCTATCTGCAAAGGTCCCGCGTCCGCCCCGCCCCCAGTGAGCGCCGTTGCGTCACATCTTACGCTCTCCCGGAAGTGCCGGTGGGTAAACGGCGGGGGCGTGTCTCTAGGTAACCCCGCGTGTAGTTACGGGAGAAACGCTGGAATTGGGGCCCAGGCCATGTTCTATCCCCTGCTAAGGTTGTTTTAGTTCCAGATCGAGCCTGCAGCCTATTCGAGGCCGAGAACCTGAGCCTGACCCCGTCTCAGGTGTGCTGCGATGGAAGTAGTGGAGGCCGCCACTGCTCAGTTGGAGACTCTGAAATTCGGTGGCGCCGGCTTTGGGATTGGCCCAGGGCAGGCAGTGCCATCACCGAGTTCCGTACCGGTCCCAGAGACACCGCAGCCACCACAATCGGATGAGGTGCCTCCAGACACTGGGCAGGACGCGGAAGCTCAGCTAGCCAGGGACCAGCCGCCAGAACTCGCGCTGAGCATTGCCGTTGGCGGGAACCCGCCACCTGGAGGGACCTGCGTCACCGGCCCCGGCGCTGCAGAGCTTGTGCGGATACCAGAATCCTTGGGGACCTCGGACTCGGATTCGGACTCGGACAGGTCGGGTGCCTGCGGGTCCCGAAACTCTTTAAGTAACTTGCGGGAGGAGCCGGGGTTTGGGGGCCGAGGCGGTGCCCGCTAGGGCCCGGGAGGCGGGGAGAGGTCTCTGAAACTCGCTGCGCACGTGTTGATTCGTAGCTCGGACCGCCCATTTCTCTCTGTACGCTGCGGACTCTAAATCTCCTCCCTAAATTTCGTAGTCTAAAAGGTCCTATGTATAGATCGCAGCATTTCCAGTTAAAATATAGGAAACCTGAAGATATTAGATTATTTTCATAATACTTAGTTCGGCGTGTCTCTTCGTGGTTACAACTTTTGAGTTTTGTGTCAGATCTGACTTACTTTCTTACATAAAATTTAGCCTGTGTTCTGGTTTTTGAATCAGATCAAGTGAGGATTCGTTAGTTAAAGGATTTTACGTGTTTCCAAATTGGCTTTGTTAATTTTTATAATGCTCGTGGGTAGCACGTGTTCGTGAAATTAGCAGGACATTGCTATTTAGTATTACTGTATGCTCTGATTCGGTTTTGTAGGAGTCCCCCACCTCCCGCATTTTAAATATGAATCTTCTGTGGTAGGAGAGGACTTAAGTATTTAGGATATTCCTTGCCCACACTGAACATTGTTAGTTTACAGGTAGCATTTGAGTGCATTGTGTGGGATACTGCGCAGATTTAGACATGATCCTTGCCCTGCTTTCCAGTGAGAGGGATGAAAAAGGTGAGTAAACATACTAGTAAATAAATGGAGTCGGTGAGAGTTACCATGAAGGAACAAGGAGCCACTGAGAACGTAGTAGAGCCAACCCTGTTGGACACTGTGTCATGTTACAAAGTTTTCATTCTAAGTGCTAGAGAAGCTTTTGGATGATTTTAAACACAAATGGCATGCTTAGGTTATCATTCTTATAAGCTTTGCTCTGCAGAGGAAGAATTGAACTGGTTCAAGCATATAAGCAGAGAAGCAAGAATGGAAATACTTGAAAGATGTTGCATAAATTCACGATGTGACCATGTTTGGGTCTGGATTAAATATTTTGAAGTCACACTGATCGGGCTTGTTAATAGAGGTGACAGTGGGCTAGACAAAGAGCCATCAACAGAGTGGGTTGTAGTGCTGTTCACTAAGAGTGGGGGTTGGACACCTATGGGAATGTTTAATTTCGACACCTAATAAGAGATTATTCTGACAGCAAATTGGAGATGTTAGGCAAGCAGTAGTAGTATAATGAGTTTAGAGTTTGGAGGACAGTATTGAGCTGGAGGTGTACATTTGAGCACCATCATATTTCAAATAAAACTCACTTTTTATTATGGATATTTTCAAACTTGGAAAAAGTAGAGAGTGATACAATGAATGCACATCTACTCATCACTGAACTTAGCAGTTTCCAGTGTTTTGCTAATCTTGTTTTAGTTAACATTTCTTTTTTTTTTCTTTTTTTAATTTAATTGATATGCCATTAAGTTTCTATTCCCCCCCTTCATTCCCCCCCCCCACCCCTCCCCACCATACCCCCCTAGTATGACCATGTGTCTCGAGTTCTTTAGATTCTATATTTCCCATATTATTCCTCATTTCTATCTTTTTAACCTGATAGTTTTAAAGCAAATCTTGGGCACCTTGCACCTTACCTGTAAATTTTTTACTATGCTGTACTTGATAAAATACTTTTTATATAACCATGTCATTATTAATCTTACTAAAGTTGATTAATTCCTTACTATCTAATGCTTGGTTTGTATGTAGATTTTTGTGGTTGTCTCAAGGATGTCTTTTAATAGTTGGTTTGTTTGAATTAGAATTCAAACAAGTTTCAGACTTTGACTTGAGTGTTAATGTCTTTAAGTTTTTTTAAGTGAATGTTACATTTAAGAGTTGTTAACAACTCTTAAGAAATGTTAAGGGGGATGGAGAGGAATGAGGCCATAGCTGAGGATATTAAACAGGTACTACAGAATGTTGCGAATGCTGATCTGGGAATGATCTGGGCTAGGGGGAGAGGTTCCTAACACAGTAATAGTAGGAAGGAGTTCACTTGTGAATGGGATGGGTTCCTTAGTCCAAGTGGTGAAATTGGCCTTCACCCATCCCCCCCCCCCCAACAAGAGGAAAGACAATACTGGTCAGAGTTAATCTCTTGGTTTCAAGCCCTTCATGATTCATCTAGAAGACATGTTTTTCAGTGAATTATGGTATACTTTGGAACAGGCTCTAGTAGGGAGTTTGAAAAAAAGTGCTGGGAGAGATAGGAAAGTAAGGAATTCTACTTTGGGTGAGTAGGGGGTAGCTTCTAAGGAGGTAAGATCTGAGTTGAGACTATAAAGAGAAATAGAATTTCTCTACATTGAACACATTCCAGTCAAAAGTAATAGCAGAAAGGGAAGGTTGTACATGCTTCTTTGCTAGAGTAAGAGTGTGTGTGAGTGGTGGTAAGAGATGGGATTGGGAAGTTTACCAGGAACCTCATTTTAAGGGGCCCTGAGATGTCATGATTAAGGAGCATGGCCTTTACCTTGTCCACAGTGTGGATTTATGGGGGGAAAATTTAAGGTTTTTCTCTGTGTTTTAATATTTTCTGAATAGAAATTAGGAAGAATAGTCCAAACCCATAAAGCCATCACTTTGATTTAACAACTATATTGACATTTCAGAACTACTAGGTTCACATGTTTATGTTATTTAGCCATTTTAAAGTCATTCACATGTGATGTTTCACCCCTAAATATTTCAGCACTCATTCTCTAAGGGGACGTTCTCTTACATATCATACTATTATCACGTGGCACAAAATTAATAATTCCCTCATATCTAATGTCTAGTCATGAATGATTATTTCTATTAAACTTATCGGGGTGACATTGGTTAATGATTATGTAGGCTTCAATACATTTCAGTGATATGTGATTGGTATATGGCATTGTGTGCCCAGCACCCAAAGTCAGATCATCTTCTGTGACCATATGTTTAACCCCTTTCCCTTTACCACCGCACGCCCACCTTTCCTCTGGTACCAGCATACTGTTGTCTGTGTCAGTGAGTTTTTGTTAGTTTGTTTTTCTTGTTTGTTCATTTCTTGCTTTCAGTTTTAGATCCCACATATGAGTGAAATTATATTATTCTGAACTTTTTCTGTCTGACTTGTTTTACTTACATGATGTTCTCAAAGTCCATCTGTGTTGTCGCAAATGGTATTATTTTTTTCATGTCCGAGTGTTATTCCATTGAGAATGTGTACCGCATGTTCATCCAGTTATCTACTGAAGGACACTTTGGTTTCCATGTCTTGGCCACTGTGAATAATGTTGCAGGAGTGATGTTTATTAATACGAAGATAGAATTTGTCATTGAGAATGCAGTAGCTCAAAATGATCCCAAGGATTCTGTCTGTAGTGACTGGGTTAAAGACTTAAGTGAGGAATAAACTAGATTCAGTAAGCAGAATGCCCTTTTTTCCTTTTAACTTGCTAGTGTGAGGTATGTGTAGGTCATTCATACCAAGGTAGTCAATGAATGTGCAACCAGAGATTAGGGGTGGAGCTTAGAGATATCATGGTGGAAAATGTAGGAATTATCTACACATGGATGATGAGGAAAAGCATTGGAGTGCATGAGGTTATCCGTGGGAAGAGTACAGAGAGAGAATAAGGGTCGGACTTTTAGAAGCAGCATCTGAAAGGGACTGAAGTGGGTAGCCAGCAAACAGCATTCAAACTCAGAGAAGAGTTACTGGTATTATTATTGGAATAGCTGTTGAAGTCAAGGGCCGAGGGAGTTTTCAGAGAATAGAATGGTAAACGTGGTAACTTTTGAGTGTCCAAGTTGCATGAAGACTGAGAAGAAACTATTGGCAAGTAAGTGATCTGGTCATTGGTGACCACTAAAGGACAGGAATTGCCCAGAGCTCTTTTCCATCAGTGATTTGTCACATGCTTAATTACATTAAGAGAGATACACGATGTGTGAGACTGTTATAATAAGTGGGCTGCAGTTATAACAGGTTTCAAAAATGTTATCAGTCGATTAAGGACTGCTTTCCAGATACCATAGTCAACTTCAGAATGCTGGCTTTTGAATTAAATCGGCAAGAGTAAATACGTGGTAAAGTGGATCCTTCCTAGTTGAATAAATAAATACATGTTACACCATCATATTACTGCTTTACTAAGTTTTTGACTTCTTTCCTACAGTGAAACAGATTCAGACAGTTCAAGCTCTTCCTCTTCCTCATCATCTTCCTCATCCTCCTCTTCCTCTCAAATATCACTTCCTCCAGTGCTGTCCGATGGAGATGACAATTCACAAGTTGACAAGGAAAATAAGAATTTTCCTGTTATTAAAACAAAAGATGAATTACTTCTTAATGTAAGTACCTTAGATTTGTTATTAACCCTGATTTGGATGTTCTAAAATATATTGTGGTACTAATACCGATTTCAGTTGTCCTGTGTTTGATTCATAAATTTGAAGACTTCTCAGTTATATTGGGCATACTTTTACCATGCCTTTACCTTCCTTAATTAAGTAAAAGTAAGGATTGTTCTGAGGATAGATCTGGGTAATTTCTAAGGTTGCTTCTAACTCTAACATTGGGTAATTGTTCTTCTGGGACGTCAATTTAAGTTTGCTATATTCTGGGTTTTTTTTTCCATCTTCCCTAGAAGGTGTTTCTTAGGTAGATTTACAACCTCACTTTTTTTTTTTGTCCTTAAGACAGAACAGTTTGCTCAATTTCAATTAAACTCCTTTTTTAAAATTGATTGCACTAAGAAACAGAAAGTGAAATTAAATGGGTTGAGCTTATTAGGATTTCTCATGGAATTTTAGCACTGTTTCTCTTAGAGTATAAAAATCAACAAATAAATGACCACAACATTTTTGTATATGTATGAATATCATCTTTTTTTTACTAGATCTGTAATTCTTACCTTGGGACTCCTTTGAAATTTACTGCAAAATCTTGGTCTATTTATTACTTTTCTGGATAGAGAACCCGTATTTTCTCTTTTTTTACCAAAAAATAAAACATATTTTTTAGAGAGAGAGGAAGGGAAGAAGAGAGGGAGAACAACACTGATGTAAAAACATGAATCATGTCCACCCGTGTGGGACTGAACCCACAACCTAGGCGTGTGCCCTAACTCTGCCTGAACCAGCGACCTCTCGCTTTGTGGGATGGCACCCAGCGAACCGAGCCAGAGTATCTTTAGGGCTCGTGTTTCTCTGTTGCTCAGTAGGCGTTTCGCTTTGGGGGCTGGCAGTTTGGCCACTGATTCTCCTGTGTGAAAGTCATAGGAAGGACTTTCACTGTTTTAGCTGGGACCTGGTACACAGCCCTGAACAAATTATTGAGGCTAGTGGAATGGGTATTCATTCGGATTGCTTAGGCATGAGTCACATAGTCACTCCTGTTTGCGTGGGAGAGTATGTAGGAAAGTGATGCTTGAGAGAAAGAAAGCATGTGGGCGAGTGTGTGGGCGGGAGCGCCTAAGAGCAGTGGACAGAAAGGAAGTGGGAGTGTGCGCGTGTTTGGAGGAGGGTGGCGTTGGAAGGGTGGTATCCACCCCATGCAGACTGCAAGGAGTGGGTTCTCTGTCACAGGAGGGGGCGCTTACATCCCTTTCAGGAGGACGTAGTAGTTCTTATCTCTATATGGGGGAAAAGTAAGAAGTTACCACATGTGACTTGGGTCGTACTCTTGTGGTTGTGAACAACAGAGACTCAAATTACTTAAAGAAAAGGGAGATTTGCTCTAAACTTGTGTAGGAAAGCCATTAAGAATGAAGGCAGCTGTGGAGGATGACGTGTCTTTCGTATGCCTCTTGAACATTCTCATAGGTCTCTGAGTGTCATTTTATCTTTTCTTTACTGACTCTCTGCTTATCTATAGATTCATCTTTTTCATTCTAGATTACACATGGATTTCTGTGTCCTTGCGTCTCCATATAGTATCTTCCACTTTCAGCTTCCTTATGCACTGGCGAATTATATTTATATTTCTTGGAACACTTTTGGGATACTCTTACTACTTAGAAAGTGTTCCCTCTTTTTGTTACAGCTCTAGCTGGTGTGGTGTGTGCCGTTTCATTCAAGTCTCCGGGTATAGGAAACACCAGCTAGAATTAGTGGTAACCAAATATATTTTCTGAAGAAAATTAATGAAATGTTCTATCCATGTTAAAATATAACATGGATATAACTACACAAACTACATAAACTACAATGGGCCAAGCAGTTAGCATTTCTGCTGGATTTTAGAGCTCTCTAGAACACAGACACGCCCAATTTTACTCAGTTTTATGACCTCTTTGTATAAAGTGTCTCATTCTAGGCAGGGGTCTGTTGTCACGGAGGCATGCTGAGCTTAATTTTTACCACCATTTAGTCTGGTTTTCAAGCAGGAATGTTACCTCGTTGGATCTAGCTTATTAAATCTTTGCTGTTGTTGGCATGTAAGATCCTGGTGATTTAACTACTAATTCTTGCAGATCTGTAAGTATAAGTATATGGAAGTATATGGGTGAAGTAAAATCGAGACTGTTCATTTAGAATTAAAACTTAGATAGTTGTAACAGGCCCTTGACAAGATTTGGTTATAACTTGAATGAAAAGCAGGGGTCAGGGAAAGAGGAAAAAACAGATCAGTCAGCTATAGAGGCAACGGAAAGGAGGAACGTTAATTGACTCTTTTTATAATGCCATAATTACGTAATGTGTGACATTAAATAAAACCAAGTGGAGTTATTCTTTTAAACATAGACGCTCCTTTAATGCTGGGGAGGTTTATATATAAACTACACACTAAAGGTAAAGTAGTACATACATTATGGCCTTGGAACTACATTCAACCACAAAGGGTTTATTTTGTGTTTCAATGAATTGGAAAAGTAGAGTCTTCTTGAAAAATATTCTCAGCAGTTTATGCCTTGAACTCCTCATTCAGATGAATCACATACAATTAAAAATTTAGAATCATAAACACATTTACGGGATTGTAGCATTTCAAAGCCATAATCAGAAATGAATTTTATAAATTAGTGGCTATTGTTTTTTTTCTTCTGAAAACCTGAAAGATGTTATATAACATTTTAAACTTTTGATTATAATATTGCAATAAGGATAATAATATATTTATTATTCTTTTTCCCCATTTATTTAATTATTGTTCAAGTATAGTTTTCTGTCTGTTACTCCCATCCCAGCCCATCGCCCCAGTGGTCCCTACCTCCCTCCCATTTCCACCCCTTGTATTTATTATTTATTCATAAAATATAGCATGACCAAGGAAAAAATTTAATGATTGTAGGCAATTCTTGGTAAATTTGCCTTCATGATTTGGAGACTGCCTATGTTACGTTTGAGAACAAGTGTACGTTATCACTGGCTTGAATACACTGGTCTGTTTCTGATTCTGGCGATGCAGGCACATGTCCTGAAACGTCCTGACATGAGGAGAGGAAACTGTCTGGCCAGGAGATGGTGGCCAGAAGTTACAGTGGATTATTCTATACCTTTTGATCTCCCACTGTCGGTTAAATTGCACCTTCGTCTACACTTAATATTTACTGACTGAATATGTTGTTTTCAAGGCCTAATTTGGCTTATAAGTTTTGTCCTAAATTCAGGCTTCTTTTGACTTCAGCTTTTTATGACTATATGGAATTATTAATATTTGGAGCTCTTTACAAATATATACTCTAAAGATATTAATATTTTGTGTTTCATTGTACAAAATTATTTTAATAAAGCTTATATTAAGTGTCAATGATCCTTTAAACTTCAAATAAAAACTTTTATTCAGTAGGGTATCTATAGGTGCTGCGTATATATACACATACATGACTGTTATATAGAAATCAGTTATTTATTAGATTCCCCCATTCCCCAGTAGATTTTACTGGTTTTTTCTTTTTTAAGATCTTACTTATTTTCAGAGAGAGAGAAAGGAAAGGGAAACATCAGTCCATTGCCTTTCCTATGCTCTCCAACCCCACCTGGGACGAAACCCACAACCGAGGCTGTGTCCTGACCAGGAATCAAACCGTTGACCTGTTTGCTTTGTGGGACAACACCTAGTCAGCTGAGCCACACGGGTCATGGCAGTGTGAATGAGTTCTTACTGCTTTAGAGGGTAAAGACAAATGTTTGTCAGTGAGGAAGTTAGCTAGAGAGTGAACATGCATGCTTATGCTGAAAGCAAAATAACACCAGAGAGAGAATGATTGCAGGTCAGGTGAACAGCACGAGACAAAAGAAGCCACAGGGTCGAGTTCAGGGGTGTTGACTTGCATGGCAGTGGTCAAGGGAGGCTCATGGCTTGAACTTAGATTGAAAAATGGATAGGATATATTGATGCTGGGTAGGTGACAGGTAGAGGGAATACGACCTTTGCCGATAAAAGGACCAGGTCTGCTGCTTCCCGTGAATTCCCAGTGTCTGTTACCTAGTAGGGGCTCAGGAGCGGTTGCTTCATTATTTGTTCATTGTCATGCCTACAACTAATGTCAGTTATAAAATGTACACTTTTTTTATCTTTTGACATTTCTGAAAAGTTGGGACCCATTGATGACATTTTTGCAATTATTTGTATGCTTTTATCTTTACGGTGTATAAAATTGATCTTAGATTTGATGAAACATGGTCTCTATTTACATAAAAGATAAGTATAGAATTCATCATTAAAGGTTTCTTATTGAGATGGATTGTAGTTGTATTTTACTTTTGTATTTGACTCAACTTTTGAAGATATTCTTATGAGCTGTTTTCCTATGACAGTAATTTTAGAGAAAAACAGGATGAGAACACGGTATTTATTTTTAAAAGGAAAATAGAAAGATACTACAAAGAAGTGGTGACTTTTATTTTTTAGGTGAAAATATGTCATGGGCTAGTCCGAATTAGAGTTTAGTGTCATATACAGTAAGGTAATTACAAAAACCACAGGGTTGCAGCAGGTTCAGTTCCCGGTCGGGGCACATACTCACATTGTGGGTTTGATTCCTGGTTGTTGGGTTTCACAAGAAGTAACTGATGGGTGTTTCCCATTCACATGGATGTTTCTCTCTCCTTCCCTTACCCCTCCCTCCCTCCCTTTCTCCTTTTCTCTAAAATCAATAAACATATCCTTTGGTGAGGATTAAAAAAAACTTCAGAGTCATACGGTGTATGCTGTTATAATGTGGTCTTAAAATTATGTCCGTATTAATGATCAAAGATAGATTGGTGCTGTTCAGACCCAGTTAGGTTTTGTGCAGAGAGCCCAAAGCGGTGCTGTCCAGGAGGGCTTCCTGCAGGGGTGGAGGTGGTTCTGTGTCCCGTCTGTCTTCACATGATCCTAAACCTTTGGGTTTCAGCTGTTGAGCACT